TTAAAAATGTTTGTTACTCTCTTGTAACACCTCTAATCTTCTGGGGCTCATATTATGACCTTATGCAGTTGCGAGAACCTTAAAATCTGTACTATAGCTAAAACGTATTGTTTTGGGGGGTTCATTGCGTTTGATTTTTGTTTTGTTTTTGTCCCGCTGTCGTAAAATCTAAGGAAAGTGCAAAGCGACCGATGACTCCGCGCTGCACATTTTAAGAAGACAGGTACGCCGGGTGGGCTGGCGAGTCCGACAACCATGCATGCACGCACGCACGCACGCACGCAAATCCACCGTCACAGGGTGTCAACAACGCCCACACGCCACACGACAGAGAGAGAGGAATCGGCGGACTCGGACTGCCTGTCTCGGTTTGAAGTATGAAGCATGATTTCTATTTTTAGCACAGGTGGGTTTTCAAGGTGATTCCCCTGACTCTAGTGACTTCGGAGTTTTTTGGTCCGTTTTACAAACGTTCTGGTCCGCATTAATAAAGGCCTCCGTGTTTTTTCGGAGAGATTTTTAAGAATGAAATAAAGGAAGGGAGGGAAAAAAAAAACTATGGCTGCTATTAATTGAGCCAAAGCAAACACAAGCTTCACGAACGATTTATAGGCCTGTATTGCAGACCATGACGAGCTAATTTCGTAAGGTGAAACCAGAGAGCTCGGTCACTGGCGGTAATTCGAGAGTTTTGAACTGTGTAGCGTCATTGTAGGCCTACTGCACTCACGTCTCTTTGGGTTAAAAAGGGGGCGAGGAAACAGGTGACATTTGCCTTGGTACTCTTAATTACAACGTATGTGTTTTAACATTACAGCTACACCACTGACGAGTCTTGATAACATGGCTGGCTGTCAGTTTTATACAGGGTGCCCACTTCAGCTGGATCGGGCCGATCGCCTGACTCGATCGCCTGAAACTGAAAACAAACACGTTTGTTTTTGAGGCGATCGAGTCGGGCAATCGGCCCGATCAGCCGATCCCATCCGCCATCTGTAGTGGGCACCCCGTATTACTTTTTTTTAAAAAGATATATACATGTATTATACATGGGGTCCACTGGCATGTTATTTAGTACTTGTAAAAGGGTTCAGCGTAACAGGATGATTAATTTTGCAAACCAGTGATATTAATTTTAATTATAAATAAGATATATAAGTACTAGTGAAGTCATCTGGCCGTTGCAAGAAATTAAATAACCAAATAAATAAACCCATGGAAAATATATA